TGCGTGTTGTTATTGTTAACCGGATCCAATTTCAAGAAAACACATTTTTCTTTAATGCAGTAATGGACTTTATATAGAAAATAAGTGTTCGGTAGCCGCAAGCCCACATTAAATGATGAACAAAAGACGTTGATTGATTACGTGAGATGCGGTTGATTGTCGAATCCGATGCGAAAGTTCGTCGAAAGAACAATGCATTTTTAATGAACTCAAATGCTCACAATATATCCAGGCACACATAAACACATCTGTTGCTAATCCGAGATGTTTGTCGACAATGTGCTACAGAATTAGTTGTCTTCGCATCCAGTGAACAAATGAAATCCCATATTTTTCTATGAATTCGAGTCATGTGTGTGTTTGTGTCACATAATAGAATTTAATGTGACAACTCATATAATATCAGGTTTCATGCGCATTCACATCAATTCCATGCGCATTAATGAATCGAACGTGACATAGTGTCATGTCGTTTAGTTTTTTGCTTCGCCATTTTGCAGTTCAGCTAGCTATTTTTTGTGTTCAATTTTAATTACTTTATCGCAACGGCGGTGCGTTTTACGCTGATTTTTGCCCCACGAACCCAGCAAAAACGAGCGTTTTTTGTTTGTTCTTCTTTCGTTGTATAGAAAATCAATATTGATTATTCCGAAAAAAGCAGGAGAAAAGAGAACAAGTGACAAATCACGAGAAGCAAAACAAATGCAAATTATGAAGGTGGAACAGAAATGGTGAGGTGAAAAAGCCGGTATGTCATGGCATTTTTGAGGTTATTTTTGTTTGTTCTCTTTTTGGCATTTTCTATATTCTTAACATCGGCTTAATGTTCTGCCATAATTGTTTCTTTCCAAAAGCCCGTTGCTGGCACACTAGAACGCCATTATATAACTTTTGGATGGCATGAGCGACGGGGCAAAAAAAGTCGAAGTAATAAATCTTTAAAAAAAATAAAAGACTTGCTGTGGTATTGGGCACGTTTATTTAATTAAAAAACTTTGAGAACAACTGAATAAGAATGTGTGTGTGTGTGTGGTGGCTTTGTGAAGAACTCATAAATGATAATAGCAGTTATAGAGTGAGCATCGTTGGAGATAACAATCACAGGCTGGCAAAATCATTTTGTGTATTCATTTTAATTAAAGTGAGTGCGGAAAGGGCACACACAACTACATACATTCCGAATGTGAATGCACTTTCTGCATGACATCTCGACCGGCCGAAACAATTTAAGTCATTCATCATCGTTTTATTGGAACGTCTGCCACATGCAATAACGTGGCGACAATAACAAAAAGCAACAACAACAAGAAAATTCCATATCAACACGAAGGGAAACAATGGAGGAATACAAAAAGCGTCAAAATGTTGAATTAAAATCGATTGATAAAAGACAAACAACGCAATAGAGGCTGAATGAGTGCCACACATGTTCAATGCACTGAGTGCCAGCCAAAGTTTAACCGTTCTGTCACACAGAGACGCAGATGTCATACGATGTGCCGTTGATTGAATTTACAAAACAACAACAACAAGACATTGTTAGAAGACACGTAGGAGACAGAGAGGAAGAGAGAACACGGCGATAGATTCGTGTTCTAACTGAAATAGACAAAGTTTTTCTTCTACGAATGGTGCCATTCACGATTGTTTCGATCGAGAGAAAGATGCTCATATCAAGATGTTTTCAATAAACGAAGACGACTTAAAACTCGTTTTGCAACGTACGCTAAAAAAGAGAGCTCCGACTTAATTGATGTCATAGCGATGACATTCCACGCACAATGATCAGTACACAGTACACACTCGACTTGCTCAACAACGCCGTGCGTTGTTATTGCTGCTGATACAAGTTCAAACCAAGCCAATAACAACAACAACAACAACAAAAAAAACATATTCGTCGATATACCGGTTTAGTGAATGATCGAAATATCCAACCAGTTGGACGGTGTGTGTTGAACCGTTTTTCACAAGACGAGCTCCATTTAATTTTGTTTTATCAATAGGAATGTGTGCAGCCAATTCCATGTGGCCAAAGCAATCGGAAGTACGGATATTTACACATTATGAACGTATCATCAATGTCGAGCAAGTGTGAGTGTGCGGCTCATCATCGTCGCATGCAAAAGGAAATATATCTACCAACAAAAACATAAAAACCCTATAAAGCAAAACTCTCTCGCTCCATGTTTGTGTATGGCAATAGCATCAAAAAGGCGATTCTCAAATTGAAAGTACGAAACGAAAAATGAAAAAAAAAACAACAACATCGAGTCGGATAAATGTACAAAAAGAACAATGTTGAATGAAAGGAAGTCGCGTCTCAACACACAAGTATTGCTCTGCTACGAGCGTACACTCTTTCTTCTCTTGCTTGAGATTGGAGTTGTTTTTTCGGTGTTATGTTTTATATCATCTCATATTATCTTCTAAGTATTTTCTACCCGAAAACAATAATACACCAGTTAATATGTGGCAATTTTTGTTGAATGAACGAAATGAAACGAAATTAAAAAACACGGAGCAGGCAACGCGCGATAGAAAAATTGAATATATTCCGAAAAAAAACAAGCACCAAGAGACTACAGCTAAGAAATATGAACTAATATATATTTCCAGAGTGTGGGAAGATGAAGTGAGCAACACAATGAAATTAACGTTTCATACATATGGGCGTTGTTGTTGCTGTTAAATACATGTGAAATCTTTTGCTCGCTCGTTCGCTTGTTCATTCCATCTTTCACAACACACAAAAGTACGCGCTAGCTGCGGTTGTGGCCAATGCTTAATAAAAAATCAAATCTCAGTACATTCTCTTTTTTCCTTCTTTTCTCGTTAAGGCCGCACGAAATGCCTTTTCCCTGTTCCACGATTTCTTGCGATTCAATTGCCGCACTGCCAAACCGAATGGCGGCCCGGCAGGCAGGCAGCATGAGAGAGACATCAAGACGATCGAACAAGAAAGACATAGGGAAAAAAGAAGAAGGCAAAAAAAGAGTACGAAGTAGCGGATCACCATAAAAAATGGCAAGTGGAACAGAATTATGTGAGTGTAATTGAACATGGTTTATAAATCATAAGCATCACACATCTGCTGTTTATGTATGTTATTTACGGTAAATCGCGTTTAATGCGGATTCGAAGAGAAAGAGATGAAGAGTTCTTAAGCGCGTTCTTTGGTTTATGCCAAACAACAACTACAGCAACAGTGGCAGCAACGCAATGATGATGGTTTAAATTGCGTTTTAACTGTTCTCGCCACTGATGATAATCATGAAAGCAACCAACATTTGTAGTTGAACAAAAACGTCGACAGCTCACAGCAGCCAATCAAATCTAATGAAATTATTCCGTTTCTAAGCCTGAACTCAAAGAATATGAGTCGAATCGCAAATGAAATATGATAGTTTTCTTCTGAAACCACAACCGAATCCCCGCACAATAGAAGTACTCGCTCGGGCTCTCTCTCTCTCTCTCTCTCTCGGCAGCTCTATCACTCGGTGTACATTGGAAATGTAACATGAAAAGGTTCGTGACTTGTGAACCAATTGTTTTTCCTCGTCGCTGGAGTTCAATGGAAACAACACATAGCCAGCCAAATAAGTGTGATAATTGAAAGAAAAACATAGAGAGGTACTAGATTTGGGAAAGGCGGCAGTGGAGGCATTCAGCACTTTGCCGAAAATCACTTAATACACTTTCGACATTACGTTCGTCGATAGTGAGTGATATCATTAGGTTAATGTCGAAACATAAGCTGAATGGCAAGAATGTATCGCTATCAGCAGAAAATCCATTGAGCACAAGAAACCGCAATCGACGATAATATGCGGTGCATAAATGGAATCATATTGTCTGGATGGGTGTGTGTTTTTTTCTAGTTTTTGTTTTTAGTTTTTTTTTTCGAGAAACCGTTCATTTTTTCAATTTTCTTTCGCTATCTATCTCATGAGCTTTAACGGCGACCCGTGAATTCCCAGAATCAACAAAAAGGGCACGCTACTGTGCTAACTGTGTGGGCAAACGAATTTCATTGCATACACAATTTCATTCAAAATAGTAGAAATGTAAATGTAGAAAATCAAAAATCTGTTGTGTATGCATTTCATGAATTGCGCAGAGAGGCAGCGAGCGGCTCTTGGCCACGATTCCATGAATACATAGATTTGTAGAAAACAAGAGAAGTGAAATAACATGGCATTTGGCTTCAAGCTGGAAATTTACTTCCATAAATTACACTAATCATTGGTTGGTTTGTCTCTCTCTCGTTGCAATTATGATAAGCCCATGGTGAATCGATTTCACTTGTTATCGAGTACGGTTACAGCAATGGCAGTAGATTATATTATTTTGTGATGTGTTTTTATGTGTGTGTATGTATGTGTGTGCACTGAGTACATCTTCTGCGTTCCAGCTCTCTTCTTTCACGTACATCCATATTTTTTGGGGGGCGATATACAGGCGAAACAACAACGCACAACTACACACAACGCATCGACGCCGCAAATTCAAGGAGACACACAGAAGCACAATCACAACCGACTCGTCTGTGTACCGCCCAAAAATTACGTGAAGTTTGAATTACACAGATATTTTTCATCGCTAATTTTTATTTTAAATAAAATGTCATGCCGTCGATTTCTACAATTGCTTTGCGCGAATGAAATTATGTGCGCATTCGTCGAATCGGCATTGAACCACTTTTCGAATGAATAAAATTAAATATTCGAAATGATGAATTAATTTGCATATTGCACGAAATCGTCATTCATTTATTTGGCATTATGGCTCACGATTACCACCAAGCACCGAAGACCAACCACTCTTCGCCTTGTTCGAATATGATTATAGCGCACCAGGAAAAAAAAACCAACGATTCATATCACACTGCACACACGAAAACATCCATTTAAAAGGTCTGACAATTGGTTTTTGCAATCGGATCGGATTGCAAATGTTTTGCATACGAATTAATTTTTCGGTACACTTGATATACTTACATCAGCGAATTTTTCCTTCATTTCGGCGCGCTCGTCGTCGGTGAGCTCCTTTTTCTTATTGAGTTTTTTAAACACGTTATTTGAAGCCATTTTTTCACGTCGCACCACTTCCACCAAATCTATTTGTACTCGTTAGGATTGTGCTTTTTGTCTTTGAAAAGCAAAAATAAAGTCACACCTGAATTGAACACTGCTTCCGTCAAAAAAGAAATCACTGAGTTGGTAAGGTGTAAATCATTCACATCGATTTCCAACAGGAAAAAAAAAGAACCGGAAGAAACAGACGAAAAATTGTGCAAGACAAATTATATGTTGCAATTTCTTGGTTTTCCCTTTTGTTTAACTCTGTTATCACACATCAACGCGATGGGTCACACGATTAAACCAATTCCAAAACATCAAAGGCACACATACACGAGACTCGTGAAGAAAAACGTGAACAGAAAACACACGCTTGACAGAAAAGAAATCCCAAAATTCCGATTAATATTTGATTGGACGCATCAATAGAGTTTGCGTTTACTGTGGAGAAGACAATCGAAAATTAAAAAAAAAATTTGCTACGAGTGTATGTCTTGTTATTTTTCTTCTTTATTCTGGTGTTGTTTGTTTCTTAGCTGTCGTTGTCGTTGTTGTCGTCGTTGTCGCCGCCGCTACTAGACGTACGTTGTAACTTGGCTCTTGTTCTTGAACAATAAAGAGAGAAAAAAACGTTCCTGCGTACACTTACGGAACTAATCACTTGGCCGTGCTAACCGACATGAATTGCAATGGAATACTAAGCATTGTTCAGTGAATCTTTCTCACTCTCCTGTCGGTCTTCGTTTACCATTCTTTACTATCTCTCTGTATGTGTGTATCTATCTTTTTGCATGTGTGTATGCGTGTGTGTACGTTTTGTATCAATGGCATTGCCGATGCCTGCTCGTTTCGAGCTGGTATGAGGCAGCAACACACAATTTTAACAGCCAACCAACACAAACAATGGCGATAGTAAGCAAAACGTACTCATGCCGCTTCTTCGTAAACATACTACGACCAATGCAAAGCAAACACACAAATTACGTCGTACATGTTTATTGCGATATCAAAGTAACGCTGCGTCAAGTGGCTGCGTTACGACCATCATTTGCTAAGAATCACATGAAATTTTTATGCATTTTTACGAGGAAAATGATCGAAATTTTTTTTCCGATGAACTATTGTCTGATTGGCAAGAATATCCATTGATTCAACTTAATCGGAAAGCGCTCAAAATCGAAATCACATTCGCAAGCGATACAAAAGTCAGATGGCGCTTTCGAGTTGTAAACGAGCCACCATGTTTTCAACTCATTCACGAATACACACGCCTGATGCGTAGTAATCAGTCAGTTCGCACACCATTGCATTTGCGTGAGCTCTATTGGAACAGAGAATGCTGCTGATCGGCTGGGGTTTGTGTGTTAGTATATTGTGATTTTTTTTTTGAGCAACATACAAAATAATAAAGACTCATAGTGTTAAACATTCGGTCGAGCAACAGACAAAAATTCATTCTCTCTCTCGCCTCAAATATTTCCGCGACTTGAAAAATTTCTACCTATTTCTGGTGCTAAAAATGTTGTGCGTTTGTTTAGAAAAAAAATATAATAAATTAATTGTCCACTAAATAGCTTCCAATTTCGATTATCGTGGATTTCGAATTTTAGAGCTCACATCGTTCATACCGAAGCGCGCTCGGTAAATATTTTGGTTTTAATTTAATTGAATGTGCTCTGCTCTGTTGTGTGTGACAAAATAAAAGGCCATTTCAGTTTGGATGGAAAAAAAATTCAATCGGCATAATCAGTGTGTGGGGCAGCAAAAAGGCGACCGCAAATCAGTAAAATATCGTCGGTGATTTGTGTTTTAAGTTGGAAATTGTATTTTCCAAATGAGCAAATATAATATTGTTGCATTCATGCTAATTATGTCCCGGAGATTTCAAGCGTTTCGTATACGTTTTCGGTAGAGAGAAAGTGAAAATAGTCGTCAAGTGATTGTTTTTTTTTCTTCTCTCGTCTTCTTCTTTTGTTGAGTGAAATAAAATAAACACTGAACAGAAGTATCGGCGATTTTGGACGGTAGCAGAAAACTGTTGTGTTTGAATGAACAAATAATAGAAGAACAATAAGCAATTTTTTTTTATTTCGCCCTGGATACGATATGATATAATCGGGACTAATTTAAAAGTGAAACACGTGTCATATTATATTAAGAGAGTGCGAGCAGAAAAAAAAAGTAGTCGGCATAGACGCCATATAAACGTATGATAAAACAAAACACAGAGAAAATGAATGGTTTTAGTACGGGTGAAGAGGACTCGCGCGGTCCAACAGATCAAATTTGTTGTTTAATCGATGAAAATGAGCGGTGCCGAAATGCTGCCGGGAATGCATCGTACAGTAAACGCGTACAAAAAACTGTGACATCAAGACGCCTTAAACTCAGCATCGACCCGCAGGTATGTATTATCAGTGGTATTTTGTGTTTGTGTGCTTCACACACAAATGTTTCACGTATTTCCTTTGCTCGTCTATTCTCGTCGTTGTTTGTGCGCGCAGTTTGTTTCGCAATTTTGACGTACGTGTGAAAGCAATTACTAATTGGGAGAGCTAATGTGACTTGTTTTTTCTTCTTCTTCTCTATTTCGTTGTTTATTGTCATTTTTGCGGTGATACAGGCGCAACATATATACATCTGTGACTATCATAAGGGTCGAATTCAATGTGCCCGTTCGAAGCGTCGCCGAAAGGAGTCCGAAGATGACAGCAATGAAACAGACACCGATTTACCAGAAGTTGATCTCTATCAATTGCAGGTGAATACGCTGCGTCGCTACAAAAAACACTACAAAGTAGCCACACGGCCCGGCATGAACAAGGCACAACTGTCTGATGTAAGTTTTCAACCATTACACTTGTTTTGACACACTTTTGTTTGTATCACTTGATTTGATTGACATTTTAACTGAATTTTTCTTTTCGCTCTCTCTCTCTCTCTCTCTCTCTCTCTCTCTCTCTCTCTCTCTCTCCTTCTCTCGAACAGACAATCATGAAGCATTTCAAAACAATACCGATCAAAGAGAAAGAGACTCTTACCTACTTTATTTACATGGTGAAATCAAATTCGAATAAGCTCGACCAGAAGAACGGCATCGGAGGGAATGATGGCACCTAAAAATCCACACACGCACCACATGCACATGGGATAAACACCGTTTCAATGTTGATTTCTATTTGATTTTATAAGTTTATTAGCCGCTTAAAACCATCTTTTTCCCTTTATATTGTATATTGTTTGATCGATTTCATTTGTAACCATATATAAGAGAGAGAGAAAGAAACAAACACAATAACATCGCAATTGATGAAGCTCAAATCTTCTCCTACGTGTAAGCATTACATCGAATTAATTGTGTAATTTTTGTTTAAATTTTTTTTTGTTTGAACATTTGAGATTCTTCAATTAAGCGTAATTCGTGCATTACACGCGTCAAATCTCAAAACTACACTTACAAATCATGTCGACAACGCTATCAATTCCATAACTATATTCTTTAAATCGTATATCCTCCCCAAAAAAAAACCTCTATCCGTAGAGACAGGACATTTTTTTTCTTCGGGAAATAATTTTTTTTTCAATTTTCAGTTAAGTTTAAATGATTAGTGCGAGGCAAAAACGAATTAATGAAAGTAAAGAAAAAATAACTGAACGATTGAATAGATTTACCAAAATGCAGAAAGAATTGTAATATCAAAATTACTCATAAAATGAACTCAACTTGAATTACGTTTCGGATTGTAATTTATTGAAGATGAAAAAAACAAACAAACAACGGATGAATTTTATCTTAACGAATTAAAAACAAAACCACTGGCCTTTTTATTTATGTGATTTGTTCCATGACAACCGTTTCTTCTTCTTCGCTGTCCTCAGACATGGCAGCATCGTCGTCATCGACGGCGGCGGCGGCAGCGGTGGGTGGTTGTTTGGATTTTTTCTTGTTTTTCTTTTTCTTCTTCTTTTGCTCTTCTTTTGGTTTTGGCGACACAGGCTTTTCAACTTCATTCGATTCAAAGTCAACATCACCATCCATTTCGGGAATCCAATGGTCAGCAAAATCATCGTCGCTGGACAATTCTTCGGCTGGCATCAGAACGGCGGAATGATTTCCAAGCGATTTTATTTTCGCTTGCTCCTTTTTCATCTCTACAAGTTCAACTTCCATTTCCTCGGTGGTATTCAGGTGAAATTTCGGCAATCTCAACAGCAACCGGCCTTCTTTGTATGAATCGAAACGATTCGATTGCAGGCACTGCATAAAACCAACTTGTTCACCATTTGCACGACGTTTTTCATCGGCTTCCAAGGCTACTTTGATTAATTTAACAACCGCATTTGCTCGTTTCGCCCCTTGATTCGCACATTTGATCAACAACTCCAAACTAGCCAATGTGATGCCGCCGAAATGCAGGCCACACAATTCACGATATGAATTTATGCCAAATACAACGGTCGCTTCTGAGCGACGCTCTTCCAACAACGACGGATCAGCGATGACAATTTCTCTGTGAAAATGAAAATTCGAATATCAGTTCATATCTTTAGATAATAGATAATTCAACCGATGTATTTCGTTGTTTTGTCTTACCCATTCTCATAAATCGAATATGATACGCAGACCGGGTAGTGGTGAAGGACAATCGGAATTGGATCTCGTTCGTTGTGTGAATGAATTTGAATTTCGTCACCGGTAATGGTAACATCTGGTCTTTTGAAATGTGCCAAAGCGGCGAGCGCAGCAACTGAAGCACAGTCTATTGAAAATGGAGAATGAAAGATATCGTTTCTTTAAATGGTATTCCCAAAATACAATGAAAACCGTTTGTAAATAAAAAGTTACCAATCAAATTTCCTTCATGGTTCAGAATATTCAAGTCGACTCGAATTCGCCACACCTTTTCCTCTGCTTTGATACACAACGATTCGAGATCAACGCATCTTGACTCCTTTAGAGCTCGTTCCAGGTTTCTTGTCAACAGAACAATATGTTCAGCTGATCGTTTGTCTTGGCCACTGTTTACGTTGATATACAAAATACCTTCGGCGGGGCGTGTTGCACGCGGTTGTGCAATTTCACATGATACTTGAGCCAATACTTTGGTTTCTCCCAGTGTCACCAGTGCACATCCCCATTCGACACCAAAGTGTATGTTGATATTACGAAATTCGGTAAAACTACGACCGTCCAAGCGCTGCAATAGACAAAGACAATTGGTTAACCTGAAATCATAGTCACCCCAAAACTCGTACTCACTTTGTTTTCCTTCAAGCATTTTATTATGAAATTCTTCTCACACGTTGATAATGGTTGATCGTTCATATTTTCCGTTTCATCGATGTGTTAGCGGTGTTTTATCTCAATTTATTTTGATTGTTTGGTTCACGTGTTGACACAGAAGAATCAGGTTAGACGTTGACATTTCGATTTTGTCAATAGGGACACGGATTTCGAAAACGTATTTTACGAAGTGTTTGACGTTTGAGTCTGGCGGCGAATGACAATCAACATTAATGCTAACACACACCGACACCGGTACCGATAGTCATTTTATAAGCGCCCAATCGAATGTATAAAACAATTAATTCCGTGCTGAATTTAACGTAAAAAAATCGATCCGATTTTGAAATGGATCCCAAGTCGGAGCTTACCAAACCGGTGGATTTGGAGTGCATTGATTTGCAACGATATCTCAAGAGCAAACCGGCAAATGTGATCGAGTCATTGTACAATCATCCGAGTATTTGTTTGGCTGTTTATCGAGAGTTGCCCGAAATTTCACGTCAATTTGTGATACGAATCCTGTTTGTTGAACAACCAGTGCCACAGGCTGTGATCACATCATGGACCTCACAGTTGCATTCAAAAGACCACGCGACGGCAACGAGTGCGCTGAGCGAATTGGTGATATGGCGTTCGGTGGCCATTCCAGGTGGTTTGCCAGCCTGGGAGTTGATGCCGACGTTCAAGAAAAATTTGAAAATTGCTTTACTAGGTGGTGGCCGACCATGGACAATGTCAAATACTCTGGATCCAGATTCGAAAGCACGTGATATTCAATTTTTGGACAATTATGCGATGGGCCGATGGCGATGCGTACTGCATTATATGGTCGGTGCGAGTGGTGCACTCAGAGAAACAGAAAGTGAAGGCATTTCACCGGATGCCGTGCGCATTTTGCTGAGTGCAAATCTGATGAAACGTGATGATAACGACAATGTGCCAGTGATTACACGACAAGGTTTTCAGTTTTTGTTGCTCGATACCCAGTCGCAAGTGTGGCATTTTATGCAACAATATTTGGATACGTGTGAACAGAGAGGACTCAATTTGTCGGAATGCTTGTCAATGCTATTTCAACTGAGCTTCTCAACACTCGGCCGTGATTACAGTACGGAAGGATTAACGCCGAGTTTATTGACATTTCTGCAACATTTGCGCGAATTTGGACTAGTTTACCAGCGCAAACGAAAGGCTGGACGATTTTATCCGACACGTTTGGCATTGAATATATCCAGCAAACGGTCAGCGGTGGCCGCTATTACATCGGAAAATGAATGTGCTCAAGACAGATGCAACATTATTGTTGAAACCAATTACCGAGTCTACGCATACACCGATTCAAATCTTCAAGTTGCACTGCTCGGTCTGTTCACCGAATTACTCTATCGATTCCCGAATTTGATTGTCGGTGTTTTGACACGAGACTCAATTCGGCAGGTAATCATTTAAATGGTTTGATAAAATTAACGATGACTAAATTCGAAATTTGTTGCAGGCATTCCGAGGCGGTATTACAGCCGATCAAATAATCAGCTATTTGGAGCAACATGCGCATCCAACGATGCTTACAAAGGAGAATACCAGCATAAACACAACATCACTGCTACCACCAACTGTTGTCGATCAAATAAAACTGTGGGAAAATGAACGCAATCGTTTCACGTACACCGAAGGCGTCGCCTACAATCAATTCCTATCGCAAAGTGATTTCATCTCGCTACGCGACTATGCACAATCAATCAACGTATTAATTTGGCATAACGAACGAACGCGCACAATGATCGTTACGACTCGCGGACATGAAGATGTGAAAAAATTCTGGAAACGCTATCAAAAAGGCAGTTCTTAAGTTAAAATTTAGTCGACTTGTGACGCATTTAGATTTTAAGGCTCATTCTTTTTTCACATTTTATCTTCTTCTGAAATTTACACTTATTGTTAATAGTTTGAAAACCAAATTCGAACATTGAATTGTTACGGTGGCATAGTAAATTAAGGAATAAAATGGCATCGATTATTCAAACAAAAAATTATTTGTCATTATGTTTTTGACAGTAAGGGCAAACATATCCGTGCGAACATATATACAAACAAGGTGAACATATCCGTGTAGCCGTGCTGAACAATAAATCGGGAAAGCGATTGCTAGTGGAGCTAAAGACGATACAGATTTGTACCAATTTCAATTATTTCTGATCATAAGCAGCGACCAATGTTACATTGATTGCGTTGCCTGATTCTCACGCTGTCCATAACTTCTATACAATATACTTAACGACCCTAATTGAAACGAACGAATACGTGGCCAGAACATTTCAATCACGAAAATGATAGTGATGCTTGTCAATACACATGCATAAATAACCAAAGGAAAGTGGAATTCTTCTAGGGTAATCGCTTCAACATCAAATTGGTCCATATATCGATCATTACTAGACTCTGCTCGGAGGTACCACTGACCTATGCCAAAAATCAAATAAACCATTTTCATCTAATGACGTTGTCACCTTAACAACTCTATCAATTGTTTCTTCGGGTATATAGCCATCGCATATTAAGTAGAAATAGACAGGCACCGTACCTGAAATGAGCAGTTGGACATTTGAAAATTCATAGTTATTATGGAAAAGTATGTATTTACCTAAGGGCTCTTTAATGAGATCATAGTCCTTATTTTTGTTGCTAAGCATTCTCATAAAGTATTCAGCGTTAGCAAACTCTAAAATGAGTGCCACTGCTCTATTTGTGTCGATCTGAGTTGTCAATTCTTGGCCACAATTGTCGTCAAACGTAATACTTGGCTTCTTATTAAGCTTCTGACTACAAACATAAGACTCATCAATCATTCATATCGTTACTCCAACAATGAAATTCATTGAATGAATTACCCAAGCATATCGGTGACGTAGTCCATATGATCTGCAAAAATGCCATCTATAGAAAATGGAACATCGCACTTAGCCAACTCCTCAAGTGAATCCATTTTATAGCGTGTGTTCAGAAGCGAATTCATTGAAAAATCAGTCAAATAAATTGCAACAAACAAGAATACAGTGGCCAATGCGGCAGAAAAGAACAATTTCTCCAATCCGCTTCGAATTCGAACGTTTCCATTGCCAATGACGGTGCAATACATTTCAAAAAGGCAGTGCAAAAAGCTTTCTCTTCTAGGACGAGTTTTATGTTTCAATAAGAACAAAATGATTGCCCCCACAAAAAAATGCGATGAGTAAAATCCAAAAGCTTGGGCTCTTCCAAAAGGGAGATGCGATGAAACTGTTACTAGGCCTCGGGAAATCGTCGCCATACACGAAAATTACTGCGATTTCAATTTGCATATAAGTACTGAATGTTTTAATTTGTTGGACTGATTTGTTCCATAATTCCGGTTCTATAGTCTTTGAAAATGGATCCGGATGGAGAATGACCGTAGATCCAAAAGCGGTTCTGCGAATATTCATAATGTGAAGAATGAAATCTGGTTGGAAACTCGTCAAATATTTTCTCGTCACACTCACTTTTCGGCATCGGAAACTGGCTCATATTTAAAATAGTAATCACTGTAAAATGAACGGTTCACTATTGGTCGAACTGCTTGATGCCGCACAGAATCATTGTCGCAAACCCATAAAATAGCATCAACGAAACTTGCTTTCAATTGAATGAAATATAAATTAGCTAATGACATATCCTGTTTCAAGTATTGATCAGGTTCTATTTCCTTCATTTCGTCCCCACCGCGGTCTGTTTCATTAATTAAAGCAACTGCCAAAAATTTACCGGACACCCTGTCACCAAACACCGAATCGAATATCTCATTTGAATTCAATCGACCGTTGTTAAGTTCCACTGATTGTTTTGAGCTCTTCGATAAAATGAATTCACTTAACGTTCCACTTGAAGTATTATAAACCAAAAGCAATGCACTTGAACTTGGGTTTGCACTTGCAATAAATTCAATTTGCTCAAAATCCAGTTGGACAGGTGTTGTAAATATGAAAATACGATAAAATGCGAGCAGTTTCTCAATTCGATTGAACTGTTCAATCAGTTGAGCTGGTTGAAGGTATATCAATTGAAGAATGCTGTCGGTTCGTTGGTTTCGACGATCAATTTGCTTCATTTCGTCGGTGGAGATATCTTGCGTGGTCATGGGCACGTCGAATGGACAAGCCGAGTCGATTGAAACCAAAAGATGATCTTCGATTGCACTGGGATGGTATAGGATATTGGCCAATTTGAAATTGCCATCGACAAACAATTGACATATCAGTAGTGATAAGTTTAAGAAATTGGTTTGCAGTTCGAGAGAACCAAATGATTCCAAATTCATTTCAGAGATTTTCTTTATATTTCATCCATCGTGAATAGTTGCCAACTACAAACTAATTTTGATGAAGCTTTGCTACTTTCGATTACAGCTCTGGTAGCGCCAATGTCATTGTAAAAAGGCGTCCAATAAATATTCCAATTCCAGCAATGCCATTACAATATTTCCGTGAAGTATTTTCCGGAAATAAGCAAAGTGAATTAATGTTATAATTTCAAACCAACACGTGTGTGTTACATTGTGTAACATAGAAATATATGATTTTTAGACGATATCATAAGTTTCTGGTGGTTGCTATTTGCATATACATATATCAGAGCATTTTATGACCCATAACTTATGTGCTGACTTCAGCGGTGCTAACTGAGCTCAGTAGCTGACATCAATTGCTGACGCGTTTAAACACTACTGTCTTCTCTTTCTGTTGCATTCATAACTCATTATTATTTGCATTCTTTCTCTTCGCCTATTTCCGAATACAGTCCGTTTTTGCGATCAGTTTTACATTGCTAATACATTTTCTTATGGACATTTTTGTTTTGTTTATTTTTTCTTGTTTGTCAACAAATCTGCCTATACTTTAGGATGTCTCTGTATATTTCGTATGGAATATATACTAAGTACAGAGGAATGAATATATGCATATGCAAATAACAGCCACCAGCCTATGTTATCGCCCAAAAATCGGATAGATCGTTCCTATATTTATATATTACACAGTGTAACCCACACCAAAGGCGTTTGAATCCCAATTCAGCATATTCTTCGAAAAATACGCCTGATCAGGCTTGTATTGATAATATCAAACCACTTGCTCATTTCATTTTATTATATTGAATTTATTTTATTATCATAAATTATTATCTAGATTACATGCAAGTACTGATTTGACTTCGTATCTCTATTTGATTCTTGTAGGCGAAAAAGATTCCACGAAAGATTATAATGGCATTGCTGCTACCAGTGTAATCAAAAGTAGCAAAGCTTTATCAAAATTAGTTTGTAGGCTAGCAATTGTTCACGACTTACTTTATAGTTTTGGATGAAACGCTTGGCCAAAATATCGATAACATAAAAAAAATTCGTTCAATGTTACTTCATATGGATTTTCACCCACGTCATTGGAAAATAGCCTCTCATTTTGCCTACATGATTTCCATGTATTACAATGCTTTTATGAATTCCATTAGGTGGATATTTAAAGTGGATTCAGCATATTCAATTGATGTTACCAAATCACTTTCCCATTTCATTTTATTGCATTGGATGTATTTTATGATTACTATAAAAGAATATATGGACTACACTTGACCGATAGTAGCTACGATGTACTATATCTTCATTGTATTCTTGTTGACAAAACATATTCCAGGAAAGCACTTGTATTTGAAATTTTTCTTCAAACAACACATAACATAATCATTATTTAGATTAACATGCAAATACCTCCTTATCCCAATTTTGTTTTTGAAGCCGAAAAATATTCCATGAAAGATTATAATGGCATTGCTGCTACCAGAGGTGTAATCAAAAGTAGCGAAGCTTCATCAAAATTAGTTTGTAGGCTAGCAATTGTTCACGGTGGATAAAGAATAGAAAAATCTCTGAAATGAATTTGGAATCACTTAGTTCTCTCGAACCTTATCTTTAGTGATATGTCACTTGTTTGTGGGTGGAAATTTCAAATTGGCCAATATCCTATACCATCCCGATGCTCTTGATGATCGTCTTATAATTTCAATCGACTCGGCTTGTCCTTTCCAAGTGCCCATGACCACGCAAGATATCTCCACCGACGAAATGAAGCAAATTGATCGTCGAAACCAACGAACCGACAGCATTCTACAATTGATATTCCTACCACCTGGTCAAGTGATTGAACAGTTCAATCGAATTGAAAAACTGCTCGCATTTTATCGCATTTTGATATTTACAACATCTGTCCAACTGGATTTTGAGCAAATTGAATTTATTGCAAGTGCAAACCCAAGTTCAAGTGCATTGCTTTTGGTTTATAATACTTCAAGTGGAACGTTAAGTGAATTCATTTTATCAAAGAGCTCAATACAATCGGTGGAACTGAACAACGGTCGATTGAATTCAAATGAGATATTTGATTCAGTGTTTGGTGACAGGGCAGCTGGTAGAGTTTTGACAGTTTCTGTGATGTATAAAACGATATGTGAATCGCAGCAACCAGAACTATATGATATCGTCCAAAAAACGGAAAGGTCGTTTGGTAGTTTATATTTCACGCAATTGAATTTAAGTTTCGTTGATGGTTTTGTATTCAATTGCAACACCAGTTCAACACCAAAACATCAGAGAGTTCGACCATAGACCGATCATTTTACAGTGATTACTATTTCAAATATGAATCAGTTTCCGATGCCGAAAAGTGAGTGTGATAAGAACATTTTCGATGAGTTTTTAGGTCGACTCCATTTTTTTGACTGAGAATAATTTCAGAGTTCCTTCATTGCCACTCGAGATTACACTTCATCGGCACTCATATACGAGGTCTATAGAACCAGGATTATGGAACAAATCAGTTCAACCGATTAAAAGATTCAGTGCATATCTGCAATTTGAAATCGGAGTGATTTTTGTGTATGGCACCGATTTCCCTCGTCCACTTAACAGTTTCATTGCATCTAGCTTTTGAAAAAGCTTTAGCTTTTGGATTTTACTCATCACATT